TAATCCATAATATCGCTTCCCTGACTACAGTCCATCCCCTGTTGCCCTCTCACATCAAAGTCCACTAACATTTGTTTTGAACTGTTTTCGTTTGTAAACGGTGCTTGATCTGTGCATATTTCCTTTTGCAACTGCAAGACGAGACAACTTCTTCACTGGAAGAAGCAATATTACGGAAGAGGACTCTGAAGAGGACTATGAAGTTAAAAATGTCTCGATGAATTTGTTTATCACAAACACACAGCTTTTCACTTCACAAGATGTTAACTGATGGAATGGAGTCGTGTGGATTACTTGTGGATTATTGTGATGTTTTTATCTGCTGTTTGAACTCTCATTCTGATGGCACCCATTTACCCATTTATTGGTGAGCAAGTGACGTAATGCTAAATTTCTCCAATTCTGCTCTGATGAAGAAACAAACTCAACATCTTGGATGTCCTGAGAGCGCCTATATTTTCAGTTTCGGTGAACTATTCCTTTCAGCCACAGTACAGTGGGTGCTAGAATAGGTAACATAAAGTCAACTACTGTACATTCACTTTGACAGAACGGTGGCCCTCAGACACATGCTCTACTTCTCTATAGCAGTTTCACTGCAGTTTTACAGGATTGTGCAGCTCTGTTTCACCGTTCCCTTGCATAGGAAATGAACTGCATGGAGCTCCCTGTGCTCATTGTTGGGGAGTGGGTAACAAAGTATCAAGTAGCTAGCTACAAACTAAATTTTCAAAACAGTGTCTTTTTTTCCAGTAATAAGCTACTTTTTAAATTAATGAGCAGGTTGTATCTGGGCAGGCTCCAGTTTTAAAGCAAGTTCCCCAAAATGTTTATGCTCATACTTCCTGCCTGCCGGGAATCAAACATGGTGAGGGATGGATGTTCATGTACAGGTTATACAAATCAAGTCAGTAAAATAAAAAATTAACCAAATTAACATTATTAAAGAGTTACTGTTTATTATTCAATTTAATAGCTGTGCCTTTTTAATATAAAAATGTCAAAATGCAGTAAAATCAATACTGTTCAAAAGTTTGGTGTCAGTTTTTTGGTTATCTTATAAGATATTAATAATTTTACTCAGCAAGGATACATTAAATTGATCAAAAGTGACAGTAAAGACTTTTACATTGTTACAAATGATTTCAAGATTTCTATTTCAAATAAATGCTGTTCTTTTGAAGTTTCTATTCATTAGTGAATCCTGACGAAAATGTATCACGGATTCAACAAAAATATTAAGCAGCAGAATTGTTTTCAACATTGATAACAAGAATTATTACTTGAGCACCAAATCAGCACATTAGAATGATTTCTGAAGGATCTGAAACTTCAGCTTTATCATCATAATTATAATTATATGTATTATAATAGAAAACTTTTATTTTAAATTGTATATAATAATATTTCATAATATTACTGTTTTACTGTATTTTTGATCAAATAAATGCAGCCTGGCTGAGCATTAGAGACTTCCTTCATTTGACATGATCCATTATGTGAGTAAAATTTAGCTGTAATTTTCACACAAATGAAATGACCCACTCTTATGCTTTAGATTTGCTTGCCGATGATGTCACAGGCCTGTGAGCTCTATTAAGCAGAGTTTCCCCCTGTGGAGAGAGATTCCCACCTCATTATATAGCTCAGAGTCTCCTCATGGACAACTGCTTCCACATTAAAAACATCTATCAGTATTCCGCATCCTGCTTGAACAGGAAACTTACATAAAATGACATTTTCATTGTTCCCAGTGGGATGCTGTGGGCATCCGTGCAAGACACACACACACACACACACACACACACACACACACACACACACACTCACAAGCAAAGCTGCTGCTCATCAGCAAGTCACATTAAACTAATTTTCTTCAGCACATCTCATTTCATGTCATGCTCCAGGACCAAACACTGGCAGGAGGGTGTGGTTGTAAAAATTGACTAAAAAAAGAGAGAGGCAAGAAAACAGACAATGGACCCCAATGGTCCAGTTTCTGGCACCACACTGGCCTCTGGATTCAAACTGAGAGCCAGTTTTTGTTCAGGTTGCTTAAAGCGGTCATATGATGCTGCTAAAAAGAACATTATTTTGTGTATTTGGTGTAATGAAATGTGTTTATGCGGTTTAAGGTAAAAAAAAAACACTATTTTCCACATACTGTACATTATTGTTTCTCCTCTATGCCCCGCCTTTCAGAAACGCGTCGATTTTTACAAAGCTCATCGGTCTGAAAAGCAAGGTGTGCTGTGATTGGCCAGCTATCCAGTGCGTTGTGATTGGCCGAATACCTCAAGCGTGAGACGGAAATGTTGCGCCCCTCACCATATTGTGATGATGCCCTGTCAGGCCGGAGCGATGATTCAAAAACATGAAAACCCATTATAAACAAGGCATTCGTTGCATCCAGTGGGGACATAATTACGGATTATAATGACTTATACTGTCTTTTTATGCGTTGCGT